GGGGGGGGGGAGGCGAAGGGGTTCCACTACTTGGGGGCCCCTCTCCAGTTACGACCAAGGAAGAAAGGGGTTGCCGGGGAGGGCCGCAGTGCGGGGCGTAAGCAAGGAGAGGGAGAGAGAGAGAGGTGGCCTGTAGTCGAGGGGGAGAGCGAGTGGGAGAGAGAGAGAGGCGCCGCCCGCCCTTCCCCTCCCCTCGAGACGCTCGGCCCCGGCTCGGTTCGGTTCTCGGCTCGACTCGTCCCGCGCACTCCGCACGGCGCGCCTCCGCCGCCGGCTCGGCTCGCTCGCCTCGGCTAGTTGGTTGACGGAGCTACAGCCGGCAGGACGGACTACCGAGTCGAGCCGAACCGAACCGAACCGAACCGGGTCGAAGTTGTGACGCGTTGTGACGACGGCGTAACGCGAATCTGTCACGAAGGCAGACGGGAGTGTGTTATGTGTGGCCCTTCTCTTTGGATATCAACAACCAAGTGACACGCTGTTGCCGCCGCCAGCTTTGACGGAACCGGTGAGGGCATCGGACCTAACCTCATGTGGGGTTCACGACATTATGTACTTTGTTTGACAACGATTGTTGTGTTGTAAATGTTTTGTTTGGTGATTGAATGCGACATATGCCATCTTTAGCTCACGGATTGGTTGTCAAAGACATGCTTGTCAACACAACCTACATATTCAGACTTATCTTGATTTTCAATTACACGTAATCTGGGTTTTCTAAGAAGATCGAAGCATCAAAGACGAGTCATGTTTCACAGCTATTTCAGGATCAAGAATGATAAAGTTGCTTTCATGGTTCTCAAATTTGAAAATGCATCGACTGCACCCACTACACAACCGGCTTTGCCGAGCATGCCTCACATTTACGGATGTACACTCTTTTATTGAAGTTTGCTCCATTGTATCTGCGCAATGCTATAAGCCATTTTTCGACTTAAAACTCGAGGATCATCGTCTGCTACCGGACCATCACAACAAAGCTTCGGCCAATCAGTGAGCATTTCTGGGGTTGGTCACCAGAGAGTCTCAGTGTCAAGGTAAGGCGTTGTGTTGGTCCGGGAGCAGACGACATCCCTCGTCGTTTCCATTAAATGGCTCATTGAAGATTTTCAATCATTTTTGTGCGCAAATATTATTTGCACTGTAGGGCTTCTATTGCGATTGCTCGGGCAACTTCACACATGTGCGGAAAGTGAGGGTGGGTCACCAGGAGCCCCATAATAGCGAGGCGCCCGGCGCTCTGCCCGCTCGATCTGATCCAAATAACGCTCTTATTTCTCGGATTCCCCCTCGACCCTCTTGCAGCTCGGCCGGCCGGGGCGTCGTCCCCGTCGCGCCGGCCATCGTCGTCGCCTTCCCCGCCCCGCCCGGCCCTTCCCTCACGCTTTTGTTCTCGCTTTAGTCCTCGCAAATAAGCCATCGCTGCCCCGATAAAAGCAGACGAAAACCGCCGAGTCCGTGCAGAGGGGTGGGGCGTGGGGGAGGTGCCGCCCTGCCGCCAGGGTCCCTAAAACAATGGTTAAACATTTAGTTTTCATTTTTTCTCCGAGTCTTTTTCGTATGAGAATAAAAGGAACAGCAAGAGTCGGTCTCGGTATGTTATTTATTTATTCTTTTCTCTGCGCGAGGACGTACCCTTGGCGTTGAACGGGAACGAACATGGCCGTGTGGACGTGCGTTATCAGGGCTGTCAAAACCGGCGGCAGCGCCCGCACCCCGACCCGAGCCGCGCCTCTCCGAACCCCTGTGATTGCTGTCTCAATAAATAATTCTCGCCGCGAAATAACACACATCCGATACGGTTTAAAACTTTCACGCGGCGCGTCCGTCTGGTCGAGGAGGAGGTCGCGGACACGACACGTCACGTCACGTGTCATTTGACCCTCGTCATCGTATTTTAACAAAGCAAAGGCACATATGGCTACAGTCACCTCGCGATAAGTGTCCGATGGCGGGACCGGCGCCAGACACATATCGAAGGGAGCAAAACGTTTAACACCTGTTGGGATCGTCTGGCTCGGAGCCTCGCGAGTCCGAGGAGCTCATTGTTCGGTGCGTCGCTGGGGACCCGCCCGATCTGTATATGTCCCGCCGACGCTCGATAAGTGTCCGTCGGCATTGTCGGCGCGCCTGGCCCAGTCCGATCTGAGGCTCGGGTCCAGCGATGGTCGAGCCAGGGCTCCACGCACTGGATGAC